ATTTGTCTTGCATTTTGGTCTATTTGCATCTTTTCTTGAAATATATAATTGAATCATAGATAAAAATTGGATTAATTTATCTTGTGTCAGAAAGTTAATATAAAAGGAAATATTGATTGTCTAATAAGAATTAACAATAACGTGTAACTTCGGGTTAAAGTATCTTAACAACGATTGATTAGGGTACCTAAAGACTTTTGTGATTTGATATGTTTCAAGACTTTGGTTGCTTAATTTTAATTGCTCATTTTCCTAGATAATTTGTTACATTTAAAAATTTTATTGTATGTTTTCTTGATCAGGGCTATGTTTATTTAAAGTTAATAAATAGATAATAAATCATCGTGAATTCTATTACTTGTGTATGATATGGCTCACTTGCAAGATAAAATCATCAACATTAATAATATGATCATTGCTTACGCCAAGCAGCTCAACCCTAAGATCAAGTTGAGTAACATATCTACTTTCACATGTTAGATCGACATGAATTAATGGACTAGTTCGTTGCCACCCTTATTTTCAAATATTTGATCATCTTTTACTACTCGTAAGTCATAACACTCATATAATTGTAAAAATGAGTAAAAGAATGAAACGCTTAATGAAAAGCTTCAACACTACCAGAATATAAGAAAATAGCAAAAAATATATAACAGAAAACTCCCACCTGCCTCTATATACATTTTAAAGAGAAGCCACAAGCTACCCCTCAATTGACTGCACATGCTCTCTACTGTAGCTTCAAATCCGAAGATGTTCTTTTCTTCTACTAATCAAAGAACCCCACTACATGTACAGAACAAGGCTTCACAGAAAACCCTATAGACAATGCACAAGGTGGGAGGTCGGCATTGTTTTTACAATTTTTTTATCATCCATGGGTTCGACCTCATGTGTCTCTTCTGGAAGAGTTTAGTGAACTCCTCTTCTGTACAAATGGTTTTTCCCCTAATCAAATTCGCCTGATATAGACTTCAATACTCTACGCACACGAGTGTAGCCTCCTTTCGCCCTTATTAAATTACATTTCATTTTTCTCTTTCTTATTTTCAATCACACAATTTTTCATAAAATAATATTACATATAAATCGAAAACTTTTCATTCTCTTACTCCACTTATTTTAAAAAAAAAAAATATATATATATATATATATATATACACACACACACACACTATGGGATTGTTTGAGTCACATTATTTTAAAAAAAATACATTCTTCAACAATGATTTGATATCATTTCAACCACACATTTTTCAATAAAATAATATTACACGCAAATCTAAAAAATTTTCTTGTTTTTAAACCACACATTTCTCATTGATTTGACATGAATAATACATTTTTTCTAGAATGTGGCCCAAATATGGGCTATATGGTCCATTTTCATTTCAAAAAATGGGGGCTAAACTCCTTTGCTAAGAATGAAGGACGAAATTCTTGATCAACATTTTCTGAGGCGTTGCTGGAATTATATACATGCATTTTCTGATTTTTCAGGTTTGAAGTGATCTCTCCTTTTACTTTTGATTTTCTGACGGTTCGTTACCGTTCATTATTCGATATGTTTGTTTCGGCACTATTTCGCACTTCTGTTTAGTTCATTTTATGAAGTTGAATTTGTTTGAAAGATTGGATTTTTCGATCACAGTAATTTGGCCGTAATGCAACAGTCTTAGATCTGCTAATGTATGTTTTGAGAAATATTTATATGCTTGATTGAGCAGAACATAGGACATTGATCTGACTTGCTAGCTCAACTGGAAGCTAATGTAAATAGATGTTACTCTATGAAATGAATAGTGGCTATTTCTTCAACATCCACGTGCCCAAATGTGTATATGGCTGCTAAAGCAAGGTTTACATGCTGATTTGATGGCTAAGGTCCCGAGCAGAGCGTTGTCAAAAGTTGAAGGGAAATAAATATTAAGCCCTAGATTGGATAATAAGTGACATCGTTTCAATATTTTTTATATCAAATCTTTTGCTCCCACCTCTTTTTCTTGCGTTGCGTGGTTTTTAACCTTTTTCCTTCCATAATTCCTTTTCCTTTTCGTCAATCCTTTTTCCCTTGTTGCCCTCGTAAAATCATTTTCTGAATCTATATTTATAACCTATTTTTGCTAAATTCTTTTAGATTCATAGATCTGTTGTGGTGCACAACGTGATTTGCTTCCGGGGAGAAGGTGCATATAGTTTCTTATTTTGCCTCTCTATTCAAATTAGGAAGTGCTATGTGTACACAATGGTGTACACACCGTATAAAACTCCCTGTAGGTGGGCAGTGGCGGAGACAGCACCCGGCGAGGGGGCACGGCCGCACGTGCTGGCTCCGCCGAAGTTTTCAGTGGCCGCCAAATGAAATTTACAGTAACCACCGATGGAGAAGTGGAGGAAGATGAAACAACGCATATGTAAGTTTTGGGCCTTTTTTGTTTAAGTTTTGGGGCTTTTTATGTTTAAATTTTGGGCCTCTTATTTTTTTAAAATAAAATCAGGCCCAAATCTCAATTATGAATTCCATTCCCCACCATTACTTGACATTCCAATTGAAAAAAATCAATTACATTTGCAAGCGGAAGAAAACTACAGCGTCGCTGACCGTCTCAGTTCCGTCTGACTGCTGCTGCCATTGGAAAAACCTGACGCTGCCTGCCTGCCTCTCCAACTCTCCATCTCAGTTTTTGGCACGATAAATTGAAAGAAAAGAAGGTGTTTCTCTTTTCCTGAGTTTTATAATCCTAGTTAAATACATTGAAATTAAAATGCTTGATTGATAATGTTTTTGTGCTTGAAACACAGGAAAGCAAAATCCTTAAATTCCTCGATTTTATGCGGAATTCAATTTCTGACTTTCTTATATCCTCATTGACTGTGGTCTGTAATGGTAAGTCCCGTCGCCTTTTTTCTCCTTTTGGTATGTATTAACTTATTTATTATGATTGTAAGATAATAAAGTAGAAGAATAATGTGTAGAACTCAGAAGAAAGGTATTAAGTGACTAAGTGAGACTGGACTGTGATCTGTCTTGAGAGAAGAGATGGAAGAATAAGAATTAAGAAGGGGAAAGAGAGAATGCATTTGATTAAGATGGGAAAAGAAATAAAAATGCAAATATTAGAATCAATTTTAATCGAAACACGAGATAATAAAGTAAATATTAATAAACGACATCGTTATTACGATCGTTTAATTGTTGACAGTCAACGTCCGCCCTAACTGAACTTTGATTCTAGATTCGCCACTGTAGGTGGGCACATGTGCAATAAAATATTCGTGAACTCCCTCCATGTAAAGTTGGTGTAATCTATTAGGTACACCATGAGGTGTACACATAGAATTATTCATTCAAATTTCACATGACCTTAAGACGGAGTAGAAGTCACCTGATTTGTACATTCCTGATGACATTATGAACAACAGTGGTGGAGGCAAGAACAGCATGAATGCTATCCCTCTGAATTTACTTGTGTACCAAGAAGCACCTCTAATTCCTTCTTCAAGGGTTTCTCATCGGGGGCAAAACCAACTTAGCAACCACAAAGTATGAGTCATATGTTCTTTTGTGGCTTCACTGCCATTTTAGAGTGAATATACTTGTTAGAAAAGGTGAAACAGTGGAAAAGATCAGGTCTAAAATATACATCCATCTTTTTGTGAAACGTTGACATTCTTTGCAAAGCTTTATGTGATAAATTTTTCTCCGATTCGGTGTAGAAACATGAAATAGTTAAAGCATGCAATGAAATATTAGTCTTTTGCATGGTGTCTTGGTGTCTCTAAACTCCTGTCTATGGATTCAGAGTCTTGATTCATGATTTTTGGTTGTATTTGTATGAATAAATAGGAGAGAGGTGATCGGCTGTTGCAGCCAGGGGAGAAATATGCTCAGTAATATTGAATGATACCATTTTTTTGTATTTTCTATGTTTGAAATTTACCATAGTGTTCAAATTTCTTAGGTACAATTCTAAGCTAATATGTGAATTCAAGAAGAAACTTGACAACACAATTATATCTACTTGTCTTGTCCATTGTATCTCAAACTGATTTTTGATTTGTTTCAATTCGACCACTATAATATTACGGAAAATGTTGCAAAGTAACATCTAACCTAACTTGATTTGAATCATTTCATCTTAAAAATGAAATAAAAGCAAGTTAGAAACTTAGCTACTGTTTTGTGGGATTAAAATCAAATTTTTAATAAATTATGATAGAACTTGATAAAATATATGGTTGAAAAGTTGTGAATCCGATAAAATAAATTGTTAAAATTAATCGTTATCTTTGATTTGGATGAATATCTTGATTTTAATTTCTATTAAACAGGACTTCGTCCTCTAGTCATGGAAAAACAGTACCGACCTTTGAGAAATAAAATTGGGTAGAAAGACCCAAGAACTCGATAGTTATCCCAATTCACCAAGTCTCCTGTATTGCCGTGGTCATATTTCGGTAGAAAGATCCAAGAACTCGTGAGGTGCAATTGGAGATAATTTCAGTTGATAATGAAAATGAAAATGATTGTAGTTATATTATTTAGATGGTGTTTGGTAGGGATTAAAATAAAAAAATTTAGTAGATTGTGACAGGAATTTTTGAATTATATGGTTGAAAAGTTGTGAAACTCACCAAAAATATGATTAGTACTGATTATTTGACTTTGACTTCAATTAAAATCAAATTTTAATTCGAACCAAAGAAGCCCTAATTATTTTTATTTAATTAAGAAGTAATAACACAGCCTAATTAAGTTCCGCCTCCTTCCCCTGATAAACCCCATTATTCTGTTAAGTCCAACCATGTCCTTCAACGCCGATTCCACCCACACATCCACATCCACCTCCACCACCGCCACCGCCTCCGCCTCCGCCTCCACTAGAGACTGGATTTTTCCTTCACCATCTTTCACCCATTCCTCGTATCGTGATTTCCGCTCCGCCCCCNTTTTTTTTTTTTTTTTTTTTTCCCCCTTTTTGGGTCATAGTTTTTACAAATTATTAACTTTCGATACTATTCTGTTTTGAATAAAAGCTTTGGGTTTAGTTAAGATGAGATTTTGCTGAGAATCAATTTTCAGGGAATTGGCAGTTTAATTCTGGACCTTTCAGTTGTAATACTTGTCGTTAGCTGGGGACATGTTAGAACTTTTAGGGATTCATCTCAAACAAGTACATAAATATATGTTAAATTATTATTTTTACTTCTGCAATTGGTTATATATATGTACTTGAACATTTTTTGGATTATTTTTTAACCAAATTATTTTATGACTTTTGTATGGGTTGGTTAAAGTTGTTTTACATACACAATTTGCTGTGGCCTATAGTTCCCTAAATGATTAGCCTATTTGATGAATTGATTACAATCTTACACTGAGTGGTAAAAGCCATATGTTATTCCTCCTAGTTTTCTCATTACCTATTTTACCGTGTTTGCAGGATAAGATTTCCAAGCTCAGCACCAGATTAAAACTTTATGATTTGTTGGATTATGTCGATACTAGTGATTCATCGTATGATGCTATCCCTAACAAAAACTTGAAAATTGCAGCTTTAGCCATCTCTATCACATTATTGTCCCTCCCTTTCCTTTTTTTCAAGTATGTTGACTATGTCTCAAATTCAAGAAGATCGTTTGAGAATAATGCAGAGGAAGTATCTTTAAACAAGCAGCTAGCTTACCGGGTTGACGTATTTTTATCAGTCAATCCATATGCTAAGCCGCTGGCCTTGTTGGTCGCTACACTACTAGTGATTGGTCTTGGTGGGTTAGCACTTTATGGTGTGACAGATGATGGTTTAGCTGATTGCCTTTGGTTATCTTGGACATATGTAGCCTCCTCAGGGAATCATGCAGACTCTGAAGGCATTGGCCCCAGGCTAGTTTCGGTCTCCATTAGTTTTGGGGGGATGCTTATATTTGCAATGATGCTTGGACTTGTCTCTGATGCGATTTCTGAGAAGTTTGACTCACTAAGGAAGGGAAGAAGTGAAGTTGTCGAGCAAAACCATACTCTTATCCTTGGATGGAGTGACAAATTGGTAGGTCTTTGATCAATTTCAATGCATTAGCATGTTATTTAATTTTCTTTCAGGTTTTGTAAGAAAATGATGGCTTTATTAACTGACAGTTATAGTCTGTTTTCAGGGATCACTTCTCAATCAACTTGCCATAGCTAATGAGAGCTTGGGCGGAGGAATAGTTGTCATCATGGCTGAACGAGACAAAGAAGAGATGGAAATTGACATTGCTAAAATGGAGTTTGATTTTAAGGGAACATCTGTCATATGCAGAAGTGGAAGCCCCCTGATTTTAGCTGACTTGAAAAAGGTAAACTTGTAATTTTAGTTATGTTAATTTTCAATTTTCTCTGCTCAGTAGTTTTTACAATAAGAGATGCTATCTCTTCATGGATAAACACTCCTATCTGTGCCTCGCTTAATCGTCAAATTAGATGTATTATTACTCTAGTTGGGCATCTGACTGGAAGATGTTTGTCAGGTATCTGTCTCTAAGGCTCGAGCTATAGTTGTCCTTGCTGACGATGGGAATGCTGATCAGGTTAGTCAATAGAGGAATGCATCCATCTAAATTTTGGCAATTTAGAACAAATAACATCTAATAAACTTGCTGATGGATGCAGAGTGATGCTCGTGCATTGAGGACAGTATTAAGCCTGACCGGAGTTAAAGAAGGTCTGCGGGGACACATAGTGGTTGAATTGAGTGATCTTGATAATGAGGTCCTAGTTAAGCTTGTTGGTGGGGATCTTGTTGAAACTGTTGTTGCACATGATGTAATTGGTAGACTCATGATTCAGTGTGCTCGGCAGCCTGGACTTGCCCAGGTCAGCTGTTGTCATATTAATTTTTCTGTTGGTGGTATCACTAAATTGCATGATATGTAATCATTTTAGTCGTAGATCAGTAAGATGCCGATATTTCATACTGATCTCTATATTTGTTAATCGCATGGTTGCTAACCACAAGATTTTACTTCACTTTGTGCCTTTGTATCATTGCTTGTTCTCTCTCGTTTACTCGGTGATCTCAGATATGGGAGGACATCCTTGGATTTGAAAATTGTGAGTTCTACATCAAAAGATGGCCCCAGTTGGATGGCATGCCATTTGAGGATGTTTTGATCAGCTTCCCTGAAGCTATTCCTTGTGGAGTGAAGGTAGCATCACATGGTGGAAAAATTATACTGAATCCTGATGACTCATATATTCTGCAAGAAGGAGATGAGGTTCTTGTTATTGCAGAGGATGACGACACCTATGCTCCATCAGCCCTGCCAATGGTGCTTTCCTTTTCTTTTCTAATAGTGTAATGCATTTAAATTTTCTACATCAATGAATGCTCAAAGCAGTCTTATATTAGATATGGTCACCCTCAATGACATTTTATCCATTCCAAGTCAACCTACATGCAGGTGCATGTGGGATGAACTTTTCTTTTTGTCTGGGATATAAAGTTTTAATGATATTGCACAAAGGAGGTGATATCCCCACCACTCATTAAGACGCTGACACACTTTGGGAAAAGACTTGAACAAAAAAGTTTCAATAACATTTACAATACTTGCTAAAATCTTCATTATACTTTTCTGAACTTTCTTACCCCTTTTGGTTGATCATCTTCAACCCTGTTGCCTGTTCTCACCGCAAAGTTGATGGAGCTGTCAGTCTCTCCAAGATCACGATCTTCTGTAGTCCGTTAGTTTCTCTCTTTTAACTAGTTTCCTGTAAATTCATTTCCACTCTACTGTCAACTTCGTTGTTACGTCTAACTGAACTGAATAATATTGGAAATTAGAAGGTGTGTTACCTTTGAAGATTAAATTTTGGTGGTCTGAGGAAAGTAAGCAGTCAATATACGTTGTCAAACATATTTCAGGCTTTTCTGTCTTAGCAATCATTAGACACTATCATAAAAATGATTCACTTAAATCATGTTTGTAATTGAAATGGAATTGCAGTAAAGAATGTTACAAGTACCTGATTAGTGCTGCATAGTTAACTAATGGGTAATACTCATTCCAGTACAAAATCAATTAGAGTCACTTGGTGTCCATCTAATTTCATTGTCTTCGGTGGTGATATATACAGATCTTCAGATGATAGACTGCATCATTTTAGTAATACCAAGTCAGATTATCCTATTTGAACCGGTGGCATTATATGTGCATACTTAGAATCTGTCTTGGTGCTTGTAGTTCTTCTAGTATAACTTATACCATGTATTTTTCTAATATCTTCAGAAATCTGCATTTTTCTGTTCTTGTTATGAATGATGCAGTTTCAATATTTTAGTTATGATTCCATTTTTCGATTTCATTTAGTATATCATAAAGAAAGCTTTGCTAAGCTGGAGAAAACAAAAATCACAAATCAGGTGGTGGGCTGGCCACTCTTGAATGAAATGGTCTCGACCTTGGAATTCAAGTTAGTGGGGCATACCATGAATAAAACTTACAGACACATAATTAATTTGGTTATTCAGGTCAAAGAAGCAAAACACATACTCATCGCCCGACCGGCAAGAAAGCCACAGAAGATTCTACTTTGTGGATGGAGACGGGACGTTGATGATATGATTGTGGTAAGCTCAATCAATCAAAGCTCCTAATTACTTTTCTTCTTCACCTGAATGCCGCAGGTTTGGAGAGGAAATCTGCCCAGGGAAGTCATTGGTCCAAAGTCTACAGAGAAGATACTTCTTTGTGGGTGGCGTAGAGATATGGAAGATATGATAATGGTAATGCTACAAGAAAGTCTATTGGATGCTTCCAGAACTTATGACTACAGAGGTTTTGTTTATTGATTCTGGTGGAATGCCAAAATGATTTCCTTTTATCCTCTACAGCACTATGATTCAGCCTGCAGCCTTGCTATCAAGTTTTTCGATATGATTACTTCTTTTGTTACCCTTGTCTTGGTTGCATTTAGGAAACAACGCTTTGCGTTTTTCTGTGTCTGGTTTGTTGTTGCAGGTGCTAGATGCCTTTTTAGCGCACGGCTCAGAGTTGTGGATGTTTAATGAAGTACCTGAGAAGGAGAGAGATAAGAAGCTTATTGATGGTGGTCTTGACACAAGAAGGCTGATGAATATATCGCTGGTCAATCGTGAAGGAAATGCTGTTATACGGCGTCATCTGGAAAGCCTTCCTTTAGAATCTTTTGATTCAGTAAGTCACGTGTAATTTGAATTACTAAGATAAGCATCTTCTGTAGGTAGTCAAGTAAAAAAATATGAAGAAGGATTGAAATACTTTTGACCTTGAAACTTAAAAGGATTGATACCCTCAAACCATTTTTGAGATAACAGCACATATAGCTGATTCTAGAACTAATGACTCATCTCTTATAAATGCTTTATTTAACAATCATTAGGCTAGTTTAGATATAATTAGATGGCTCTTTGCAGCCTGGAAATATCTTACTTCCTCCATTAAATTTCCTTACAATGATATGTCTCTGGTATACAGATTTTAATTTTGGCTGATGAATCGGTAGAAGATTCAGCAATTCAGGCTGATTCCAGATCTCTTGCCACATTACTTCTGATTCGCGACATTCAGGTACTACTATTGGATGGGGCTTCAAATGAACACATGTTGAGACTCTTGGAATTGAAATGACGAGATAATTTTGTACTCTGTGTAGTTTTGATAAAAGTGTTCCATGTTCATGTCATTGTTTATAGTTTATTATATGTTCATTTCCGACTTGGTTTCTATGTTTTACCGTCTGTCATCAGGCTATTTGATGGTCACAATTATTTTGTCAATCATTTTATTGTGTAGTATCCCACCAATTATTTGAAGTTATTTCTGTGTATGGACCCACCTTAAGACCTTTTTCTAAGTAACCTCAATCACAAAAGCTCTTCATTTCAAAAAGAAAATATACTGGCGCAATTTTTTTGGTGACGCCCTTGATCCACTTTATGAGCATGCAAGATATATAGCAAAGACTCAAAATTCATGGAAGACTTATTTTTCATTTGCAGGCAAAACGTCTTCCATACAGAGAATCAATGGTTACACAAGTTCCCAGGGGTAGCTTCTCACAAGGCTCGTGGATTGGGGAAATGCAGCAGGCCTCAGACAAGTCTGTTATAATCAGTGAAATTCTTGATCCAAGGACCAAAAACCTACTATCCATGTCAAAAATCAGTGATTATGTTTTATCGAATGAACTTGTTAGCATGGCGTTGGCCATGGTTGCAGAGGATCGCCAAATAAATGACGTATTGGAAGAGCTTTTCGCTGAAGAGGTATGACTGTTTCAATTATTATGTCATGTCCTAGTTTTATTTACTGAAAAGGACCTGCACATTTTTGTATGAAACAGAAGGTTAGTACTTCGTCATGTTTCTAATTTATCATACTGATTAGCCGGGTTGATCTCTTTCACCTAAAATGAAATTGAAACTTTATCCGAGTGAAGTTGATGTAATGCACATGCACATCTAGCTAGTAATCTGATCCATTCAACCCGATTGATTCATGTCAAAGAACTTGTCATGATGTACAGCGTTTAAAACAATAATTATCTTCAGTTTGCAGATTGTCTCGAGTTTAAATTGGGTAGCTATATTAAATGGTTCGAATTGAGTAAAGTTGATTATAAAGTCGGGAATTCTCTTCATCTTTCCACCGTTGGTCAGTTCACTAACTACACCAACTTAAAACTCAGCCAGTTTGGTATTCTAACACACTGTATCCTCTTGCATTGGTGGTTTAGATATGCGATTCAGATCTCTAGTTATCAATACTCAAGTAACGAGAATTCTTGTGACTTCTACAGGGCAATGAGATGCACATAAGAGGAGCAGCTTTCTACCTCGAAGATAGTGAGGAATTGAGTTTTTACGAAGTACTCATACGTGCACGACAAAGGAGAGAGATTGTGATTGGGTACCGTTTAGCTGACACAGAGAAAGCTGTGATTAATCCCCCTGCCAAAAACGAGAGGCGGGCATGGTCACTGAGTGACGTGTTCATAGTAATTGCTGAGAAGGAATGAGTTAAACATACTGATGATCCTAGTCTTTTATAGCATCTGAATGGTGTCATATTCTGGAGATATAAGAAGACTGTGAAAGCTACTTCAGCGAGAAATACATCATTCTGCAGATAGAAATGGATCGAGGAGTCCCCACGAAATCAAAGTTGAGGACAGCTCTTCAGCTTGAGATGAACCGTGATGGCAGATGAAGTAGATATTGAATCTACTTTTGAATGGGGAATTACTCAGCACTTGTTTCTTGGATGCAAAGAGCACATCGACGCCCTGTAATTTTTATTCTTGTATTTCATTTTTTGTAAAATTTTATAGATCAATACAACAAAAAAATGGTTACTCTTTGCTCACCTATTTATTCACATGCAGCCGTTCATCACTTCTTTAAAATCCGTTAACCACAACTAATGGAACTTTCTACGTGTGAGGGAAAGTTGATTTGGCACATTAATATCCGTTAACCACAACTTACGGAACTTTCTACGTGTGAGGGAAAGTTGATTTGGCACATTAATATCCGTTAACCACAACTAACGGAACTTTCTACGTGTGAGGGAAAGTTGATTTGGCACATTAATACCAGTGACTTGTCCGCTTGTATTAAAACCCGCCTTTCATTCAATTTCGGAGCATGCTTTTTTTCTAAATCTACCCAAATTGAACACACAAAATTAGGGTAGGAGGTTGTTACTTCCAGCCATTGAGCCATAGAGGGAAAGAAGAGTCAAAGATTACATATGGGGTTAATATCCTGCTGTCAAGAATCAATAGTGGGACTTGCAAATCTCGGGAGAGAGTTCCGATCAATCTCTCTCGATAAAGCTTGGTACCTATAAATCAATAATGCCTCACCAGAATCAAATGGAAACTAACATGGAAGTAGAATAATTTTTTGTCTAGTGAGGGTAGTAAAAGTTGACCTGGCAATGACATGCTCTAAGGCAAAATCCCCCCACTGGAAAAGGCAAGGATATGTGTGTTTTTATAGTGGTTGACGAGTTAAAGGTATTAATGCGCCTAACAAACTTTCGGTCTCAAACATGAAAATTTTCATTAGTTGTGGTTAACGGAATTTAAAAGACTGATGAATAGGTAAACATGTGAATAAATGGATGAGTAACGGGTCTCTATATTTTGACATGTGACCAAGTAGTAACATAGGGTATAATTTTTGGGTTGTTGCCCATGTAATATATTTTGTTATAATAAAATAATAATTTATAATAAATAGATTGTGATTTTATTTATTTATTGTATTAGTTATTATTGAGCATGCGAATTAAAGTGCTTACAATCACTTATGATAATATAAGTTTGGTATTTTTGTTGAGAAATACAGTGTAACAACTTATATTTTGATCATAAGTTTTTTGTTCACAATAAATGTACAAGAGTTGGTGCCTTAAACTGAAAGGTTGTAGTGTTGATTGATTCATTATTGTGATTTGTCCTTATTAGAAAAATAATTAAATGTGTCACTAATACACTTCGAGTGTACTCAATGGATCACACGTCTAGTTTAATTCTATAACATGACCGTGTGAAGAATTAAATTCTACTTGACCCCTGTGTATGTTATCTAAATCACTTGATAGGGTTTATATATATTTTTTTGTGATTTTAATGGCTCCATTGATTCATCAATGGCTGAGATTAATTCATTGATTCATTATTGTGATTTGTCCTTATTAGAAAAATAATTAAATGTGTCACTAATACACTTCGAGTGTACTCAATGGATCACACGTCTAGTTTAATTCTATAACATGACCGTGTGAAGAATTAAATTCTACTTGACCCCTGTGTATGTTATCTAAATCACTTGATAGGGTTTATATATATTTTTTTGTGATTTTAATGGCTCCATTGATTCATCAATGGCAGAGATTAATTCGATTGATCAAATATTTCGATGAGTTGAGAACTTGAAAGTGAGCGAAGTAGAAAACGTGAATTCATGTCGGGAACTATCATCTGAAAAATAGGTAGATTGACTATTTAAGTATTTTTTGTTGAACAGTTAAAATCTCAGTTCAGTGTTTAGTGACGGCTAAATTTCGACATATATGATTAATTCACAAGATTGTGAAGAAAATGACACTTAAATCAGTGAGAATAATTAGAAGGACAAAACAGACATTTTATGCTCGTACCTAATTATTGAGTCTTGGGCTAGGATTTAATACTTATATGATAGGTCGGAAGAAAATATTACAGATTTACTGGCTTCTATTATGTTATATATTTCAAGAGTTCAGTTTTTTATCTTTAGTGGAAAAGACAAAGACTAATAATTATATTGGTTGGTTTAGGGTCAACTAGACACGATCTAATTATTGGAACTTTGGATAATATTTGTCTGATCATGTTCATGTGGTAGCTCCATAAAGTATTGAAATTTAATTAAGATAATTATAATAGTTTTGTACTTAATTGTAATTACAATAAAATTTTTGTACTTAGTTATGAAGTTTTAGAACTAGATATGTAATTAAATGTAAATTGATTGGATGTGGACTTTAATTAAAGTTCCTATTTGGATTTTATTTCAAACTCCTATTTGAATGTGGAATTATCATTGTACAAGGATTGAAACTTTCTATCTCTATAAATAGAGATTAAGATGAAACCTAGACATCTTATGGGATTGAATATAAACTCTACAACAATCATAATACATAATTTTATAGTGTTCAAATTTGAAGAGAGAGAGAGAGAGAAAGAAAAAGGAAATAATTAATCTTTTTCAATTGTTCAGTTCAATAATTAGGGCCCGTTTGGTAGGGATTTTGAGAATTGATTTTTTGACCGTTACAAGAAAAGTGGGGTCCACATGTGAGAGAATAAGTCAAAAATTACGGCTTGAATAGTAAAATAACAGTCAAAAAATCAATTTTTTGGAGCAAAAAATTCCTACCAAACGGGGCCTTAGTTTCTTGACTTAATTAAGAGATTGTGCCCATCTACAGATTAATCTTTGATTTTAAAGAATACCATAGAAGATTTGGATGTTTGAAACATCAAGTTCTTGGAATTAAAAGTTGAAAGTTTGTGATTAATAATTAATTCAAGAATTAATCATTGAACTTAAGTAAAAATTTGAATCCTTTAATCATAATATAACATACACGAAAATGTTTTGACGATTTTATTTATTGAATGAAAGAAATTTTTTTAATTTATGGGGAATTTTGCTTCTACATTCCAACAATAATTTGATACAATGATTTAATAAATTCAAATTATCTTAAAGGAAAAACTCTGCTAAATATTCGAAGGAGGATATAAATGTAACGAAATAAAAGTTCGGGACACGATTGCTATGAGAATAAAAGTATGGGAATCATGAATGTAATTTGTCCTTTTTGAAAGGCCAAACTCCAAAGTGTAATTGTAAATATACAGTCTAAGCTGAATTTTGAACCGAGCAAAACCTCTTCTTTCTTTAGGGTTTTTGCAATTGCAGGTTCATCTATATTCTCTCTTCGCAGAAATCTCACGAGCCGGTAAAAATCATATATTTAATATGGTGTTATCGTTTTTTTCCTTAATTCGATAGATTGTTTCCAATTTTGTTGTTTGCATTCTGCTTTTATTTGCGTAGTTGAAAAGTTTTTGCTGTTTTTCAGTTAACTGCATTAGCGTAATTTGTAATTCATGTGCTTGTAACTGTATTAAGGTTTATTATATAGCCTAAGTGTATTCTCATTAGCTATTTTAAATTGTTCAACCCAGGAATATCTTGTATGTACTTGTAATTTTGTATAGACATCTATGTGGGTTATTGAAAATTAAAGCTTTTGCAAAAAGGGCTTTGTTATATTCTCAAAGTTATTTAGCTAAAGAGATTATGGGTTCCTATTATTTTTGTGTTCATCTTATTTTGAAATTCTTAAACTTATATTTTTATTTTATGTTCCCAGGAATAAAAAACTTACTTTTACCTAAACTGCTATGAAAAACCAACGCAGCATCTTTTCTCTTCATTATGTTTAGTCCATTGATACCTATATTTCTAGATCTAATGCATTTAGATACAATCAAAACTGGTAATGTTAAATTTTGGTTATCCCGACATGTATCCTTGCTTGGAAGGGACACCTCAACAATATTTTGTATAAAATTTTACTTCTTTGGATGTATATAAATTTTTGGTTGTTTAGCCTAACATTGAACTATTTGGATTTTTTGTTAGTAATTTGTCTAAGAAGAATAATAAAACGCAATAATTTCTTTGATACTGGCATAGTGTAGAAACTGATATTCTCATTTACCAGTATAAGGAAGAAAGGAAGCCAAATGCATATGCTGTTATGTTCAACTGTCTGAAACTCTACAAAGCATTTCTGGTTGAATTCATTTTAGTTATTTCTTGCATATGATAATTTTTCTGTTTCACTCATTTTGTTCTGCATATATAGCTGTACATTGGCACAAGTATTTCCTCCCTTCATATCATGGATTTCCTTAGTATTGTTTGTGGCTTGCTGAAGTTTATTATTTATTATCTGACCATAATCATTTGAATGCCATCATCAAGGTGCCTTTATGTCTATGCTTTGTGGAATTTCCCACTATCAAGTTCTGCATGGCAGTACATTCGGCTCAATAATGATTTACGTCATAATATCCTGCTGAGGGAGAATATTTTGAATTGATGGCATTTATCTCTTTCTGTGAAAAGCTTACTGGTTATATATGTGTGACTTGGAATTGATTTTGAAGGGATTTTAAGGATACTTTGCTGTTTTTCACTTGTTGTCATAGTAAGCGGAGTTACTGTTGTTGCCCCCCCCCCCCTCCCCCCAAAACACCTTCCTTGTTTATCGGCCTGTCTTTTATTTTTCTCCATTTTTTAGATAACAGGATTGCTTGAATATGCTGCTGCATTTTTTATCTTCTCTGTGTTTGAATTTTGCTATGCCATTATTAATCAGTTGGGTGCTCAATAAGTTTTGCTTTGGTTACCTATAGCGAAAATGTTTGCTTTCATTCGTATGCTGATTGATATTTCTCCATATGCTGGCAGACTCACATTTAGTAAGAAGCAATGAGTGGGACTGGAGAAAAGGTTTCAGCAACTACAAAAACTCCGGCTGATTTTCTCAAATCCATTCGTGGCCGACCTGTTGTTGTCAAATTGAATTCTGGTGTTGACTACCGAGGTTAATCATTTCTATTCTCTGCTTCTCTCCTTGTTTCCATTAATAATATTTCATTTTTTCCCCATTTTTCATTTCGTTGATTGTATTCTGAAGTTTTATCAGCAATTTTCTATATTTTCCCTTCCTTTTTTGGTACTCCGATCTATTGGGTAATGCATGTCATTCTCGCACCTTACCTTTTTTCAATACAAGCCTTG